ACTATATATCGTTGTGGAATAATGTCTATAATTTATATTTTTCAACTTATGTATGTGGTAAAGATTTGCTTAAATTTGCATGTACATATAAATAATAAATAAATATATACCTTCTTTATATTATAAAGGCAAATTTGAATTAACTTATTATTTGAATCTATACTATATTTAAGTTCTTTTGATCAATTACATTCGCAGTATCGATCTATTATTCAGCGATTATTTATAATAATATGAATACATTTATGAATATTTGTATAGTATGAATATTACACAAATATCACAAATTAAGTAGTACTTTCATTGTTAAGCATTTTGTGTTATTAAATGTTTTCAGCACTCCAAAACACGCAAAGCACGCACGCATGCGGAGAAGCGGTGTGAAAAAACCCCTATTTGATACGATGGAACATCGATGTGTGGTTCAAACGTTTTACATAGCATTTTCGATCGAATAAAGGAAAGCTGTAGATACGTGTATTTTTAGAATGCCCCGAGTAATATGCTTCTGGTTATTTCATTTATTATGATTTTTGAAAGTATTATATTTTCCTTTAGCTTACATATTTCGAATAATCTCCTTTGACTTTAGAAAATAATCTTTTGTAATGTTTTTTTTGCTGATAACTCATTTAAATTGAACTAAACTAAAACTTTTATCTTAGTATAGCAATCCTTTATGAATTACGTATTTTTCAAGGTCATTCAATTTAATTATTGGTTATAGACATAAACGTAGGTTTTCGGTGATTCCAATCCATAAGGACATGTGATCACTTTAAAGGAGGGTTCAGTGATTCCAATCGAAATATGAATTTGTTGAGTGAGTTGGAGATTAATGAGGTTATATTGGCATGACCCGCGTATCACTTGGGTCAATTGGTGAGTACTTTCTCTATTTTTCAAGCTTACTTAAAAGGAAAGAAAGGAAAGTGTGAATCCTAATTTTTGTGTCTTGAGGTTTTCTTAGTATCGGTGATGTTTAATATAAAATTCTGCACTCTCTAAAGTTATACATAATCTTACACAATAAAAAGTGTTGAATAACTATTTACTAATCAAAAATCCAGGTAACTCAATTCAATTAGTGATTACAGATATGTTACACATATAAGTATATTTTCCAGGATTCTAAACTATTAGGACATGTGATCATTTTAAAGGAGTGTTCTGTGATTTCAAACGATATATGAGTTTTCCTCCGAGGTCTTACTAAAACTAACTGGTTCAAATTTAATTAAGAAATAAGCCGTAGACAGATTTTGTATTAAGATATCTAAAAAGTAACGTTATTCGAAAAGATTTCAATTTTTTTCCACCAATTTTAGTTCATAATGGTAAAAAGGTTTAAAATTGAGAAAGAAGTTTTGAAATTTTTTTAAATTCATATCGTACACATATTTGTAAGATGATAGAATAGTGCATATAAATATGAGCATCCTTAGTATATTGAGGTAGAACAATAAAATTTACTGAAACACATAAATACTTGCAGGCATTCCTTTTTATACCCTGCACACGGTATATCAAGTTT